CACACACACACACACACACACACACACACACACACACACACACACACACACACACACACACACACACACACACACACACACAGGATGGCAAAGCACCAAGGCTGAGATCTATAGACCAGTTTAACTTTAGGTCAAGGTTTGTGTGCGTTCATGCGTACGCATGCGTGTGTATGTGTTTCCATTAGATTGACAGAGGGAGGTGGAAGTGATACAGTTGTTCATTGATAACTGGAGCTTGTTCTCACATTGGAGGGTCGGGCCCTCATTACGCACTGGCTCAATGTCAGGGAGCACAGCTGCTGGGTTTGGCTGGTGCTGCCTGTACAGGCTGCACAAAACCAGCTGTGCAAACAAACACACACACGGAAACTGTAAAGGCAGTAAGGGGAACGGAGTGGTAACAGACGGGCCACGGAGGTTCAGGTAGACTTGAAAGCAAACATGCGTAAACCCACACAGGTATGCACGCCAAAGATGTGATTCTAGTTGGAGAGTGACAGGAGGAAGTGGTTGCCAGGGCTATGCTAGTGATAGGGGTGGGGTGGGATTACGGCGCTGATCAGTCGTGGGATAATGCTGACATACAGAGAGCCCGTTTTGTCTCACAGTGTGACAGAGACCTGAACAGACTCGATCACTATCTTGCCGTCTCAAATTAGGACACATTTCAACTCCTTAAAGTGCTTCTTCTCTGAATTCTCCACCGCTGTGCTGCTTTATTAGGCCGCTGGGAAGATTTAAGAAAGATAGAAACCTTTGCCGAGGCTTGCCCCAACTTCTTTATCGTCTGGGCATTAGCCATCTGCTGGCACATGTGCAGGAGTGCTTTGGGGGAGGTGAGCCATGAGTGCCTGTGTTTGTGTAGTAGCCACTAAGGCAGACAGGAACTCTAAAATTAGGCCCAGGCCATTCTAACTGGAACATTTCTGGCCTTATCGTGTCAAGAGATGGCTATTACCCAAGCCGACTGTTGTCTGAGCGATACGGCAGGTCTGGTTGGTTTTTCTTTCTTTCTTTTTTTTTTTTTGTTTGTTTTGCCTGTTTAGTGTCTCTAGGCAGCCAGAGCTCAGCAGACTTTTCCATGACATTGAGACAATTTGATTCTGTTTTGATTTGACCATCATGTCCAATAAAGAGCACATTGTGCAGGATGTGTTCGTTAGTCACAGAGGACAGAAATGGTCTCCAGAGTGAAGGTAGCAACACAAGAGCCAAGGGCTGATTGCAGATGTAAGTGGATCGTCTCCAGAAACAGAAATTCTCACTCATGCTCTAAAGAAGGATACTGCTGAGTCCACTTTGTGCACTTACACAGGACTTGTGCTCCCCCCCACTATTGCCGTGCGCCATAATCCAAATGACAAAACAACCTATTGTTTGTTCTAACCTGTCTGCCCATCTCCTTGGGGAAGGAATGGCAAGGCGTGCACTTTTTACAGCTTCCTAGTGCCCCTGATTGGACTCAGAAAGAAGGAAAGTGGGGGCAGTAAAAATAGTTTGACACCCTCAAGGTCCAGCCAGCAATCTCCTCTTCTCTCTTAGCCCATAAAACTCTTTGAATTCTCTCCTAAACCCCCCCACCCACCCCCTATTTCTCTCTCTCTAATTCTTCACCAGACTCTCACTTGCAGCTTTGCTTCAGATCAAGGTTGTTATGTTTGCCGCTCGTGGTGTCTCCCTATTATTTTCAGTTGCATAACTCTTTCTGCAAGGCCCCTGCGTCTGAATGCAGCTTTGATCAGGTCCGTGCATCGGTTTGGAGTGGGCACTTCACGCACCCCCACTTTGAAGCCCGAGCGACGAATCTGAGACTGGGTCCTCAGCGTCAACTTAGGGGATCGAGGCACAATCTCATTCTCTCTGGCTTTCCAGTGCCAAAGTACTTTTCCATGTTCTCAGGAGTGTGGCGCTTGTTGATGCTGGAACAAGAACAGCCACTTGAACTGGTGTGTGTTGATGTGGGCTGAAACCTGCGTGTGTGTGCGTGCCTCTCGTCCCTCTCCCTCTTTAACTTACCACTCTTACTTCTGCTGTTGTGGTACCAGCCGTCAAGTGTATGTCCTGGCTCTTATATTTTGACTTTCATGTGAGAGTGACATATTACATATTATTACTGGGAATAAAAACCAGTCCTAATTTTTCCACTAATGCAGTGTAACACACTCAATTCTCCAACTGTGTACTCAGAGGAGTCCGCTGTTCCAATATCACCTTCTCCTGTGAAAATTGCCACATGTATTTACTCTTAGCCACTTGGATATATTCAGTTCTTTTTTTTTTTTTTTTTTTTTTGACTTAATGGAGTTCCTCTTTTCGCTACAAATAAAAAGCTGTGGGAAAAGGACTGTATGTCAGCCTAATCTTGTATTCTCCCCTCTCTTAATAAGTAATGATCAGCAGTCTGTTATCTCTCAGCTTGTTTTATGCAATCATGGGGTATTACCCAGGGATGAATGCTCCCTCTTCAGAGAGGAAAACAGAGCCTGGAAAATTAGCATTTTCTGACAACCATTACTCACTGGGCTAATCCTGTCAAGGAATGTGTGGCTGCGCTATCAATGCAGGCGAGGGGTCGCCATGGCCCAGGCCTGCACATCGGCTCTTATCAGGCAGGGTAAACACACTAGGGGCCTGCATTAAATAAGTGTCACAGTCACTGGAGGCGGAGCAAGCCGAGCCCCCCTGCCAGTGTGCAGATAATCCCTTTAAAAAAAAAACAAAAAAAAAAAACATGCTGGTCAGACCCAGCTGTGGCCTGTGGCTCAGGTGTAGGGAAAGTGGGGGAGGAGAGGTATTGTCTCGGCTGTGGTGTAGGTTACAATACAAGCCACTCAGGGTTTTTTGGCCGTGCTTGTGTTTGCGCAGATACATTTCACAAGATCGGGTATCAGATGTTCACTGTCCACCCAGGCAGTTTTGGAAAAGCTTTGCGTCCACATCGAGATACCAAAACAGCTCGGAAAGTGTCCTCCTATGTTCTCGACTTTGTCAGGGACGTCCCACTGAGTTATGAAACAGGCAGAATTTGCTCTGTGTGTTTCGAACGTTACATTTCTGCTTTTACATTGTTAAGGTTAAAAAAAAACCCCACACAGTTTTGTATGTTGGTGCCTGGCCTTAATCTCTACTATTATGCATGCACAGACAATTTGGGCAAGCAGCTGTCCTCCAGATCACATGACAATCACAAAATTACAGGCTGGGATTTCTGAAGCACATAAGGGGAAAAAGGCAAAACATGAGAAGTTTGGATGCACTCACGGGGCTACAAACTTCATTGCCACTATATTTTATCAGCACTGATATTAGCGTCAGCTGACTGTTAAAACTGCTTTTATAGTGTGAGTTTTTGCTATGCCTCATGGATGACACAGCTGCAGGGTTTGCTTAATAAGCTGGAACAATGTTACCTGGAATGTTGCGGTATAAAGGCAGCAACTCCGAAAACAACTTCCTGGACTTCTTCTAGCTGTAACTAAACTGTGAGGGAGGAAAGAAAAAGTTAGGCGCCCTGCTACTATGACTGGGTGACTTTGGCACTTTTTATCCTTGTGTGTGCTGTGTGAACCGAGGCGCCTCTCTGGGCAGCACCAGAGGAAAAGTGTAATAGTGTTACACTGGGTATACAAGGTGGGAAACCTTGAATAATGTGGGGATGAGAGCAAGCCAGAGATCCGAGTCAGCCAGTGGGTCACCAGAAGGTGAGGCTGCCTACTTGCCTGGGTTCAGGAAAAGTTCAGCCGCATAGCATTAGGCAAATTAGGGAGACCGCGGCCGGGGGAGAAGAAAATCGGGAGGGTTAGGGACTGATGAGGGGAAAGGGTCAAATTAGTTGGAAGGAGGAGCCCAGTAAAGAGTGAGAACATAAACGGGGAATTCCAGGAAAAAAAGAAACAAGAGAGTTAGATTGTGTTATAGCAGCCGCTGTGTGCACAATCACTCTGTAAAGACACGCAAGACTAATTACTGAGCTTATATAACTTAATCATGTCCTCAAATACTTTCCTATTTAAAGCCCTCGCTGCTCAGTTTGACGCCGGCCGGCGGGCTCACCCCCCAAAAAGAAACACTCCCGCAGTGCCCGTGTTTCGGGAGAGGGAGATCCGTGGTGACGTCCCTGAAGGGGTTAAAGAAGGGGCGGAGCAACGCATGAAAGGCACCGAGGGGAAGCAGGAGAGAGAGGGGGGGGGAAGGAGAGAGAGAAAGAGCCGAGTGGAGGTGGAGCCAAAGCTCTCAGCTGCTGTGCCTTGTCACATTTCTGCAGAACATGATAGCCGCACGGTTTGGTGTGGGAATGGTTTTAGGCTTCTCTTCCCCGAATACAAAACAAGGCGGCGCTGCGCGTTTTAACGGGAGCCTGGATGTTGGAGAGCAGGGTCTGACGGAGGGAAGCGGCCGCTCGTTGTAGTGCAACAGAGTCTGCGAGGCTGGGGGGGAGGAGGAGGAGGGGGGACTGGTTCGTTTTACAGAGCTGACAGGAGTCCACCCACGACGGGCGCAAACGGGACAACCGACCGTAACCCAAAAGGACAAACTGCAACTCTGCGGAATTCCCTCTCCTAATATTTGCGCCTGCAACACATTCCCAAATCTCCCTGCGCTGTCCACGCAGACTTTGGAGATTTGTGTTGTATTTATTTAAAGATTTGTTTGCACTGGGGGTTGGATTTATTCTTTGTCGTGTGGATACAGCCTCATATGTTGCTCTGTTTGAGCAGCGCCGTAAAGACAGACACCTTCTGTTGAAGTTATTCGGCTCGTCCCCGATTTTCTTCTTCTTCTTTTTTCCTTTTATTGTATTTCTGTTGTCGAGTTTCTTACCTCGGACACAACGCAGACTGCTCTTTGAGATTATGTTTTCATATCCGATCAGGCGCATTCGGACACCGATTCATCCATCGGTCTGGTTTTCGATCTTCACATTGCCGTGAGAAGATGCCAAATGTTCCGATGTCCCTGCTGTGTTTGGATTTACCACTTTCCCCTCGATTTTAATGCAGTTTCCCCCCCTCCGTTCGGCACCGCTGCTGGTGGCGAGCTGAAAACCAACCCCTCACAAACAATTCGGGTATTTTGTTTTTGTTTTTTGCCCTCTTGCTAATATTTCCCCCCTGCCGTCGCCCTGCTTCATATGATGTATGAGAGTGTGGACGTTGTGGGACTGAATCCCAGCCCGAACCCGTTTTTAATGATGGATTACTACAACCAGAGCAGAGGATGCTTGATCCCGGAGAAAGGACTGATGCCCGGGGCGCCCCATCCGTACAGCACGTCCATCAGGAACCAGCACTGGAACGGCTCCAATCACTGTAGGTGCTTTTTTTTTTTTTTTTTTTTTCCCCCCCCCCCCCCCCCCCATCTCACTAATTGGTGAAGTTGAACCCTCCCTGTTAGTGTGTGTGCATAATAATCACTATATTTCCTATTTTGCGCTTCCCAGCACACGCCGGTCGCATGTGAAACGATCATTTGAAGGCCTTTTTATTCTGGAGTTACCACTTCAATTATTTAAAGCCCATAATATGTGCTCAACAGCGCTGCACGTTATCACAATCAGTAAGCCGTCAATGCTGCAACAGGCCTATATATATTTGACCCACTTTCGTCTCTCTCGTTTCTTTCTGAGCGTTCGCTCAGGTTTGGGGTTTTTCCCTCCTTCTCTTTCCTGCCAGTCTGTTTGCGCTCTGATCCAGGCCACGCTACCCGAAGCTTTTGCGTTCCTGAAATCTGCACTTAATGCAAACCAGGTTTGTGCAAGCGATGCCAGCGTTAATCAGATCAAACTTTCATGCCAGTGTTATCCCCTGGTCCTCTGGTAATCTGGGAAGCTGTACCCACAGGCCAAAGTTCCTCAGCAGCAGCACCATGGCCTTCACCAGACAACTGTATCTGTTAAATGTTGAAAGCCTTGCACTCATTTATTTATATTTAATAAATAATTTGAAGTGATGTTCTCGCATAACTTTATTTTTTAAAAAACAATATTTCAGTTAGTATGATTTTATGTGTAGACTCCTGTGCTAGGTAGTGAGGATAGCAGTCTTTATAAATGGCAGGTTTATTGTGCTTTTATATCAGTGAGATTTAGTTTAGATTGATGATACGTTCATGCGTTTGCTGCATGATCTCCTTGGGTCAGTATCCGCCAGCAGCCGTGGGAGATTTAATTTTGCTGATAGCATATCTGCTGCAGATATGAGAGAGAGAGTTTTATTGCAGCAACAAAGTATAGCAAGAGCTGCTTCCCATTCTTTACCTCAGTAGAGCCAGGCTGCATAAAGCATGAGCAGGCCCTTTTTATAAAGGGATAGCTCTGTTGTCTTTCACTGCTGAAGGAGCTAAAAAAAAAAGGCAGGAATCTCCACGGGCTCTTAAGGACCAATTTCCTCCTTGTCTCAAGACTATAGAAACGCACGACAAAGGGAAATTTAGACAGGAATTTCTAATGTTTGGCAGCAACAACAAAAGACAAGCAGCCATAACTATTTTGTACGTGTTGTAATCTTTTCTTCATCTTTCTCATCTCATTATTTGTTTTGAAAAAGATCTCTCCCGAGTAAAGAGGCGAAGCTCGTACATTTTTTTTTTTTTTGTTCTAAACAGATATTCAAAGAGCCTGATAGTATTTATTGAACCGGTCCACTAAAACAGCTCTAGTGGCGGCATTGATTCAAACCATGTGAGCTCGTCTGAGGGGAGACTGTGGGGGTTTGGCCCAGGAAAAGACCTCTGATCCTTCACTCGACTCCACATTGTTTTGCTCAATGGAGGAATTGCAGGGGGAGAGTGAGAGTGTGTGTGTGGGTGAGGGGTAGCATATCTGCTCTTTGCCTTACTGCTTGAATGTAATAAAAAATTTAGTGCACAACCAGAGAACATTGACGGGAGGGTGTAGAGCAGAGAGGCGCAACATCCGTAAGTGTCATCACGTGGCTCAGAGGCTTATTGGATCATAGGGCTAGAAAACAACCCAGACAACAGCGCGAGATTTCCTCGTCACTCCCCGCTCTCACGCAGGAATCCAAATGAGCCAGATTCAAAAAAATCACAAGACAATCCCATAAACATCTGTTTGCTTTTTTGTTTTTTGAAGTTCACAGAGAGTAGTGTCATGGTATGTTCCTCTGCACTTTTCCTGGTAGGTCTTACCATTTTCTTTTCTTTTTACCCCCTCTGTGCTTTTCTTTTTTTGGTCCTCTGTTTTTTCAACCCCTCCACATTGGATCTAACTATTCATTACAGGCTTCACAGAAGAGCTTTCTGGCTCTAAGCATGCACTCAGTGACATCTTTGCTAAAGTGAATCTAGCCTAAAACGGCCTTCTGGACCCACTAAGTGAGTGGGTATAAATCCACATCATATGGGTGCTTCATCCCAGTATTATTGGTTCTTTAACAAGGCCATATTATGCTTTTGAGCCTACTCCCTTCCCTTTAGTGATATTAGTGACAGTGATATTCCTTCAAATTGCTTCTTTTGTGCATTTAAACGTTATAAAGTCCAAAGCACACACCAATGGGGTGTAATTAAGTCGTACAGGACTTGCTGTTGCTCAGCTTGGATTTACTGACATTCAGATTTACTCCTCATTTTCTTACTTGTATCACCAATATATATTTGAATTATACCTGTCTAGCTTAAGTCATGGAATCAGCAGATTCTTCCATTGTTATTCATCTGTTGGAGCCCCTTCATGCACTTCATTAGACATGGCTGTTTTGAATCTGTAATGCTATAGTTAAATGACAGATGATCACATCTCTATAACTGTTTGTTCTAGAGACAATATTAATGATTTTTGGAAAGAAGAGAAGTCAGTTTTTGCCGGGATATTCGGTGTATCACGGTAACACAATGCAGTTGTAAGTACTGCTTTTTGAATACAGACAGAAAAACCAGCCCTGCCTAGATTTTCATATCCCCTCAATCATTTTGGGCTAGAGAGAAAAGAAAGATGAGCATTATTTTGTCATTTTACAGTCAGAATTACACAGTAAGTGTGATACTTTGATGATAAAGGGTTAAGGCCTACAACAGCATTCGTAGAGTAGAGGTTATGATACATAACCAATGTTCAGTGCTCTTTTGCCAGGCTAGCTAACTAATCATAGGAGACTGGTCTTTTCCCGAGGGGATCCTTAAAGAGACTGAAAGGTGCAATATGAGAAAGATTATGTTTCCATTTTACATCAGTTGATATAATCCAGCACACTATGAGCCTGTAAAACGAGTTCTTAAAAGATGGTGTGTATTAAGAGGTTTGACTGTTTACATGTAGCCTCTGTTTATCACCAGGTTGCCCAGTCATAGGCATTATGTGCTGTTTGTAATTTGGTTCTACTTGGAAGAAGGCTCTGAATGGCTCAGGTGAAAAGTCTGTGGCCTTGCAGATTAAATCCACTTGAATTTTCACTGAGTCACAGTCAGAATCCTTACAGCGGTTATAGGCTCATGCACGAAAGAATGCACGCGGCTTTGTTCACATGACTGTCACACACTTAAAAACTGGGGATATGGTGGAAAGGGGGGATTGCACGGTAGGCTCAAATGCTCTGCAGCCCATGGGCGTCTTGCTCTTTGGGGTATATTTTTCTCAGGCTGTCTATAGTGTAAAAGAATCAGTCACTGCATAGAGCATATGTGAGATGGAGAGCAAAGCATTCTTTGTCATGTTTGTCTTCTGATGATGAAAGATGATGAAAGTGCGCTTACATGAACAGTATGTGTCTTAATCTGAGTTGTTTGATATTTAGTCCTTAAGTCCTTGTCCCCCCCCCTTTTTTTTTTTCTGGCTGTAAGAGCAGTTTTTTGAATTTGCATTTTTTTAAGTTTCAGATTTACAGGCAAGTCCATTTAGTTTTTTCCGAGTCTGCAGTATCAGACAGCACAACAAAAAGCACCCGTAATTGTTTGTGTTGTGAAGCAACACTGAAACACGGAAAGTGGGTGATGTGTTTGGACTTTGTGCAGGAGAACAGATTGTGTCAGCCTTACGAAAGAAATGCAAATATCACTTCCTGCACCTTTTCTTTCTATGTGCATTTTTTTTATAGTGCATGCTAGAAACTGGAAAAACATGAACAACAGAAAATAAACGGTGAGTCCGGTCACTAAGCAGAACTGGCTAGAGTACTGTCGGTTTCTGGCACAGAAGTGTGTGTGTGTGTGTGTGGGGGGGGGTTCTATCCTACAAGGGGAAGATCATAAAGTACAAATTTTATTTTCTTGGAACAATCAAGGATTTCTTGGCAAAGCTACTTTAATAACATTACAGCTTGTGACTGTTTATATAAGGCAGGAATGCAAATTCCAGGCCTTAGTATTCCTGAATGACCGTGCCCTTTATGCGACTGTGGGGTCCCTGAGTCTTATGTTTTTTGCTTGTACACAAATGTGTCTTGGTGCCATCATGAACATCAGGATTTTATTGTGGGGCTTTATTGGTCCGGACTTGATGGGACTGGCAGAAATGATGCACAGCTCTGAGACAAGGTCATCTGTTCTTCTGGAGAAGGAAAGCATTAGGCGGTCTCCTCATTTTGCCACATCTATCTAAACCCGATCAACCAAAGGTGATTGCGATTTAGTAGCCTGCATGCCTGGGACATCACAGAGCGGGGAGATGTGTGTGGGTGAAAGAGTGCAATCTGATTGTCCACTGGAATACGCTTGCTCTCACCTTCAGGGTAACATCAATAACAAATTGTGTCATCAAGGTATGTTTGCAATGGCAGAGGAGTGACCGGAGTTCAGCATTGCTCCTGCCATTCTCCTGGGAAAGGCTGCAGGGCAGCATTTCACAACCTGCCATCACTTGCTCCCAAAAACGGCACCTTGCCACCTACCTGTGGAGCAGTCGTTGCCCTTTTAATGCAATTCAACAGTTACTTACAACAGTCGCTGCAGTAAGTTTACCAAGAGCAACAAAGATGCGTGTTTTTGTTTGTTTAAATGCCCGTTGGCTCAGTCACTCCACAAAGTGTAATGACTGGGTGTGGTCCCTCACCTTGAACAGAGTGGCAGAATAACCGGCTTTTTACTTCCAAACACTGCTATAGCTGGCTCGCAACTTTGATGTTGTCTTGCAGGTGGCGCGACGTAATGCCTTGCTATTGCATATCGAGTACATCACGGGTTCAGCATATTTTTGTCTGGGCATTTCATTTTTTCTTTTCCTTTGTGCACACATGAACGCACGCTCAAACCAACTGATGGGCCTCAGCTTGTTTGCGGAGAGAATTAGCCGGAGGCAAAAGTCAGAGTGTACTGTACACCAGTTTGGTTTGCCGCTAAATCCCCAAACAAGGGT